AAAAGTCTTCAAATTCAACCTACATTCATCGCTCATCGAATTGCCAAAACAATTATAAAAATTGTAAACACAGCTAGTACAGAGAGAGAGACAGAGAACCTCATCTTTCAACATGTGAAGCAAGGTGGTCTTTCCGGTATTATCAAGACCTAGAAACAATATCTTGGCCTCTTTTTGATACAAACCAAGAGATGTTAGAACTCCATAGAACCAGTCAACCAAGGAGTCTGGATCCTCGACCGTACAAGCTTGCTGCCATCCCTACGGCACCCCCAAAACCGTGTCGTTTTGGGAGAAATTTCAATTTAAAAAAAAATAGAATAAAAACCATAGGGGAGGGGAAGAAGAGAGAAAGGAAGGGAGAAGAAGAGAGAAGAAGAAGGGTGACGGGAGGGGAGCCGCCGAGGTCGTTGTAGAAGAGGAAGAGGACGGACCAAAATCTTACCCACTTGCCACCTCTCCTCTCTCCTCCACTCGAAATCTTACCCACTTGCCACTTCGGCAAGTTCTGCTCGCCTGGTCCGGTCGGATCTGGAGCCGCCACGGCTGCTCCTTCGACCTCGCCACCTTCTGAGGCCACAGCGCCACCGGCTACTGCGGCGGCGCCCTCTTCCTTCTTCTCTCCCTCTTCTTGTCCCTTCTTCTCCCTTCCTCTCTCTCTTCTTCCCCTCCCCTCTGGTTTCTGTTCTGTCTTTTTTTTTTTAAAATTGAAATTTCCCCCAAAACTACGTCGTTTTGGAGATGCCGCAGGGATGGCGGCAGGCTTGTGCGGCCGAGGATCCGGACTCGTCAACCAAGAACATTTTGATGATGATGATGATGATGATTTCAGCTTTCTCTTTGATAAACCCGCCAAACAAAGACAATACTTGCGTTCAAATTCCGGAAAGTTTAGATTGATAGAGATCAACCACAATCTGGAGATATGTAGAAACGAAAATGAAAAGGTTTTTCTTTTTTCTATTTTGGGAAAGGTGTCTGTCTATGTAGTAGTAGTAGTAGTAGGATGAGGTGGAGGAAGGTTACCGGACGGGTCGGTTTTTGTGGGCTGGCTTGAGCAATAAGCACCATGGTTTGTGACGTGGAACGGTAACCGGGAAGTGTTCCGGTCACTAAGAGCATCTTCAACAGTGAACCAAAATTTTCACCAAATTTGAGTAAAAAAAAAGTCAATTTTCTCAATCTGATATGGCTTGCTCTAACCGTGCATCAAAAGGGAAGAGTCGACCGGTAAGGCTATTTTTTTTTTTTTACCTGTTTGAACCTTTTTGACCGGTTTGAACCTACCTATTTGAAAGGGAACCGGTCGACCGGTGGGTCAACCGGCCGGACATTCGGTTGGTTGACCGGTTGGCCCACCCCAACGGTCAAGCACAGTGAAATACTGATTTATAGAGCTTGTCCTCAGTTTGATGAAATGTTTGTTCCATTTTCATTTTGATATCAAATTGGTGAAACCATTGGAGGTTGAAAAAGTCACTTTTTCATCAAATTTCAAATCTGATGCATGGTTTGATGCATCGTTGGAGATGGTCTAAGGTGATAATCCAAGTGGAGGACAGATATTGGTGTGTTGGTGTCATCGAAGAAGCATATTATAATTATAGACCAAGTGGTTGATTTGATATTATATTTTTTTAATTTTTTTAAAAAAATATAAAAAAAAATAAAAATAAAAACAGAGAGGTGATATGATTTTAAGAAATAAAAAGATAAAAAAAAATATGTTAATATAGAGAATGCCAAAATATTTATAATTGTAATTTTTTTTTTCCTAGGAAGTTTGCTTGTTGGGAAACACTATGGTATATACACATATACATCTTATAATTAAATAAAAAAAACGATATATTTCATACTTTTTAAGTTATAATTAAAAAAATATTATAAGTAAGCTCAATATGAGTTATGACTAAAATAATATCATAATTAAAAAAGAAAATTAGTTATAACTAAATAATAAAATGACAAAATTAAGGATGCATATAATTAAAGAAAACAATGACATAACTATGTATGTATATTAGAATTTTTCTTGTTTGTTAATGAAATTATATTACAACTAAAAGGTCGTTACCGAATGCATTATCCTAATTATAATTATAATAACATCACAAATAGTATTAAATTTATTTTTTCTCTTTTTTTTGAAAAATATTTTTGTAATTATAAATATCAAATTATAGTGTCATATATTGACTTATTTTGAAAACATGATTAAATGTAGTTTTTAAATTTTTAAATTTTTTTTCTCCATAGTTGGCATAGAAGGCTAGGTTTGTTTGGATGAAAATAGTAGAAACGAAGGAAATGAAAATAAATATAATTGATACGAAAGTAGTAGAAATTATAATAAAATTAATTTTTTTTGCAAAAAATATAGGAAAATGTAAGAAACCTTAAATTTTTTTTTATGAAAGTAATTATTTATAATTAGAATTGATACTTTGGTAATCTCAAATTTATATTTCTTCGTACCAAAATATTTGTCCCTTTTAGAAAATCTAACTTTTTTTGATAATATAATTATTATAATTAAAAAATATTAACTTTTCAAAACTATCCTTTGATAGTACATTTTTATAGAAATATCAATTGCCATAATTGTATTTTTTATGTTAATGAATTTAAAAAAAGAAAAAAGAAAAAAAAAGGAAAATCATGTTATTTTAGTTCTTTATTTTTGAAAATAGAATAAGAAATTAATATTTTAAGACAAAAGAAGTATAAAGAAAATATACAATATATCTTTTTTTATTTTACTTTTTATAATTTATTTATTTATAAACAAACAAACCGAAAGGTCCAAGCGCAAAACATTCACAGCCTAGATTTACAGTCATCAAGCTTTAGGCATGTAGCCCAGCCCACCCATTTATAACCTATGAACATGTTTATTTGGACGGACTAGATAAAGGGGGATTGTAATATATCGGATTATTAGTTCTGAAATATATTGTTCCTGTATTATTTTGTTGGATTGGATTTGTATTCTATATTTATTTAGTCATGAGATTAAATGTTTGGATTGAACTATTTTATTTAATCTCATGTTTGTTTGGGATATTATGGAGAAGGATAAATATTCAAAAGACTATTTTGCCCTTTTGAATTATTTACAAAATAATAGGAATATTAAATCTAAATTATAAATTTTATTTAATTTTTTTACTAGAACTTTTTAAAAATTAAATAAATAGAATATTAAAAAATATTACATAAATTTATTTTAATTTGTGATTGAGATTTTTAAATTTTATGACTACTTTATTAAATATAATTAATACTATGAATACACCAAATATGAATTTTTTTTTTATTTCAAAGCAAACCCAACATCTACATAAATGTAGGATCAAAGAGACGACCTGACTCATTTTGGTCACCTAGATAATAGACAAGATCAACCCCATGATGATAATCCAACACTACTAAATAATTTTCCAGATCTTTAAGATGAGAGTAAAGTAAATTTGCTTTGTCCGTCACATGAGAAGAAAGTATTAAATAAAAATAAAAATAGAACACAAATGCAAGAAGTTCCCTTGGACTTTGTCATGCCTAATTCTAGTAGATCAGGACAAGTTAGCAATTGTGATAATATTGAGGGTCAAAAATGTAATTCATTGGCTAATCCCATGGGATAATTCTGGGAGCTTCTATTTGTACACACCCATTACACTCTATGCACATCCTTCTCAATGAATAACTTGTTCGGAAGTAGCATTTCGAAAATAAACAACTTATTCAGAAGTAGCATTTCGAAAATTGTCATTTCTTTCGACAGTAGAATTTTGATTTTTTTTTTCATTTTTTCGACATTCAACTTCTGAATATGTTTATTTTAATTGTGTGTGATGTTTATAATAGTAATTTCACTTGGGAATAAGATTGTAATAAAAATAATTATCATTAAGTGTGTGTATAGAGTGGAATGAGTGTGTGTAAATAGAAGCTCCTGATAACTTATCTCACAAATTCTGTCCCAACCCTTTCTGAATACAATAAGCCAACAAATATAAGACTAATAGTCCGGAACAAAAATTTAACACCAAACAACTAGTCCATCCGGACTAATAATCTAATCCCATGGTTTAAATCCTTCAAAACAAACACCCTATGTAGTAGTCAAGCAAAGGCAAGCCCAGAAGGACAAATTAGTCATTTCATAAACCGACCCAACTAGGGGCTGGGAGCTTTTATTTACACACACCACTTCCCCTCTCCTCACACACTTAATGATATTTTTTTTATTACATTTTCATCCTAAAATAAAATTACCAAAAAATCCCTTTCTTCTTCAACCAAAACCCTAACCCTAACCTTAATACCCAACACAGTCCCTCCCATCCAGTCATCTCCTTCCTCAACACGGTCCCTTCCTTCGTCGCCTTCCTCCATCGCCTCCCTCTAGCCTCCCTCTTCTCGAATCGAAGCTCCACCCCACCCCATCGTTCGTCGCTTACTCACCCTCCCCACCACCCTCGTAACCCCTCACTTCGGAACACAACACCATCGCCGCCGCAGCTCCCACCCCTTCGTGACCCTCAATTCTGCACACCCACAGAGAGAAAGAGAGAGGAGAACCTAAATTTGAAAGAAGACTCATTTTCTTACCATTCAGACTACCAATATCAAAAGAATTGCCTCCATTCAGAAATCAACCATCAAACGAATGAATTTGGTTCGACCATCAATATCGGAACAAAACATATTGGTTCGACTATCAACCTCCGAAATCCCATTTTCACAACTGAGAGAGAGAGATCGAGGGGATGAGGTGGGGGTCGCGGTAGTGTCGCCTGTGGGTGGAAGAAGGGGTGAAGATGGCGACTGGAAGTGAAAGGAAACGGTGGCGTTGCGTCACCGCCGGCGAGGTGGTCGCTGGTGTGGAAGGTGTGTGGTTGGGGAGTGTTGGAAAGTTGTGTGTAAGAGGATATAATTGGAATAAAAGTGTGTGTAATAAGTAAATTTTTTTTTTTAAGGTGTGTGAACTGAGAAGGATGCGTAAAAAGTGGAATAGGTGTGTTCAAATAAAAGCTCCCCTAGGGGCTAGGGCTTCGCAAGAAGCCATATAAACAGCCAAAAAAAACCCCATCTTTTTCTTTAGCTCCTCTGTGAAAACCCTAACACCGACTCGATCTAGAGCATAGCGAACAGGTTCATACTTTCTCATTCCTCTAATCTGTATTTGCTCTATCTATGTATGTATAAGTGTCTTCGAATTCGCAAATATGTGATTTGATTTGTGTGGTTTATGATTGGGTTTCGGCAGAGATGGCAAAGTCGAAGAATCACACGGCTCACAACCAGTCTTACAAGGCTCACAAGAACGGGATCAAGAAGCCCCGAAAGCACCGCCACACTTCCACCGAAGGGGTACGATTTGTATATATATACACATATATGTTTATAGATGAATCGTATGAATTTATAGTTTTTTTTTTTTTTGGTAGATGGATCCGAAGTTTCTGAGGAACCAGAGGTATGCAAGGAAGCACAACAAGAAGAGTGGCGAAGCTGCTACCGAGGAAGAGTAATTTCGACATAGAATTTACTTTCAGGATGAAACAATTTTTGTTAGATTGTTCTGTGTTTTAACCCCATTTCTGTTTTTTTAATATCTTTGTCTGTTGAAGATCATATATTTTGAGCTCTTATTGCTAGTTGTTCTTATAGGATTTGTTTTTCTTATAATTTTGTTTGTTCCTCTAATGATACTTTCATTTTGTTTGGCCTGATAAAGATGGACATCTTATGCGGCTACGGTATTTGAGAAGAGATTTGAAATAGATTTGAAATGTAAAAAGAAAAAGTATATAAAATTAGATAAAATATAAAATATAAATATATTTTATTTATTTTTTATTAATTTTTTTCTAAATTTTTCAACCACCAATTTTTTTTATTTTTAATTTTTTCAATCAAATACAGTGTTATAGTTAATTTATTGTTTTTTTAATCAGTGTGTTCCTTGTGAAGCTATGATTTTATGGGGAAATGGATATATGGTTCTGTTTGGGTAGAGGGATTTTGAAATGAAGGGATTTAAGATTAGACTCTATAAAAATGAAGGAGATTTTAGCTATTATAGATGAATTGAGAAAGTATAGGGTAAGATAGGAATTATTTTATGATTTTTGTACAACCTATAATTCGGATTTCAAATAAATACTTTGAGTGTCTATTTGATTAATATGATTAATAGTGAAGGGATTAATAATTCATGGGATTAGTGTAAGAGTAATTATGTAGCTAGTAAATAATTATATGTTTTCACTTTTGTTTTGCAATGGATATGAAAATACATTTGAAAAGTTAGTAAAAAGTTAACTTTTTGGCTTGTTGGTTTTTTTGGATCACGTTATCTCTCTAATTTTTTATACAAAAAATTTACAAAAAAGTCAAAAAATCAGTTTTTTACCAACTTTTTAAAACATCATTATATGTTTCTTTTGCATTATTAGTTGTAAGATTAAAAAAATTGTTAATTTTGTTAGATAGAATGTCCAATCAGAATCTTGTTTGAATAATAACCGGAATCTAATCATAATAATAAAAATTGTAGACGAACAATGGAATTTGAGTCTTATGGATTAATAATTTTAATCTTATGCTATAATCCATCCAATCAAACAAACTCTCATTTATGAAGCGCAGACATGGACATGGGATAAGTACACAAATTTTTTAAAAAGAGAGACACCACATACTAGGGATACGGTCAATACATATAATTTTTTTTTATTATATGTAAAATTAAAAAATATATATTATTTTTATTTATATTATTTATTTATTTACTTTAATATCAAATATCATTCCCAAATTAATTTTTTTTTTCTACAAATAAAAATAATTTATACTATATGTTAATGTTTAGCAAATAATAATATTAAAAAATATAGAAAAAAGTAAAAGAGGAGAAAAAAAGGTTTTTTTTATTTGTTACTAAAAACAAAAAAGGTTTTAAAAAAAGAAGAAATAAAGAATAAAAGAGGGAGAGAGTTAGTAATAGGAAGAGGAGAGAGAGAATCTAACAAAAAAGGAGATAGCGTCAAACAAGAGAGACGAACAAAGAGAGAGAGAGAAAAAAAAATGAAAGAATCAACGGAAAGCACCGAACAGGCACTACAAGAAATGTCACTTTTGGCTACTAAAAGATTGGTCGCCAAAAGTCTAATATTTAGTCGCTGAAACGATTTAGCGACTAAAATATTTTGTCGCCAAACTCGTCGTCCATACCTTGTCGGCGATAGTATTGGCAACTAAACTTTGTTTGGTCGCCGAAAGTGACTACATTTCGCTACCAAATTTAGTTTAGTCGGCAAATGTTATGTTTTCGCCACTAAAACCTTTAGTCGCCGAATGAGGCTTTTTGGTTACTAAGTTATTGTGGTCGGGGAAGTTGTCACCTTTAACTACTAAATAATTAGTCGCCAAAAGTACACATTTGGCTACGAAACTGTATTTAGTCGGCAAAAGGTGCATTCGGCAACTAAAGTGTTAAGTCACTGAAAATGCATTAGGTTATGTTTTTGCTACTAAATTCTTAGTCACCAAAACATTTGATTACGTATTTAGCTACCAAAATATTTGATGACCAAATACTTTAACGTGGTTTTTTTTTAATTTTTTTTTCTAAACAACCTGTATCCATTATTAATACAATTTGTACCCTGTATAAACAATATAATCCATCAACGCTAAATATGTTATCAAGCATTCAACAACGTGCACACATTTTAGTTCCAACCATCCAAAAAATTAATATTGAACGTCCAATTATATATATATTACAAATTCTATAAGAACCAGTCTAATCCAACGTCAATAATTTAATTTCATACATAATACAGGAATAACCAACTACTCCCACTACATATTTTAGTTCCAACCATCCAAAAATAAGTACTAATAAGTACAAGATGTCGTCCTGGCATCACTATAAGCTCTCATTGTTCGAGTCCTTCCATAAAACCCTTAGATTGGAAGGGGCCAACTACTCCCACTCGCCCATCCCCTTCGTCCACTGTTGCTGGCACCTGTAGAACCATTGCATGAATGTGAAATCAAATGCATGTCTAATAAAAATATAGAAATACATATTCATAGCGTCCTCGATCCAATTACACAATGTAAAATTACTGCATAGGAAAAAAATAAAAGACGTGCTTACCTGCAGTACCATGGAAGTTGAACCCATCATCCCAACCAGGAAAATGCCTTACTGATAGAGCAGTCAAACTTCTTTAGGATTAACTTATGATTCACCTCAGAATTTGGCGCCAGTAACACACTTGACTATGAACAACATTAAAATAGACAAAATTAAAAATGTGACTATGTATTTGTATTACTTGCCTTTAACCCTGCATCAGGTGAAAAGATGCATTTTGATGTGATAGCTTGCCCCTGATCTAATAGCCATCCCACCCCACAGCAAGTTTGACCATCTTCTCTTTCCTTCAATGAACTCCACAATTGCTTTGGAAGCAATACCAGATTTTGGTCGTCTCTCACTGACTTTTGCACACTGTCATCTAATAGTTCTTGCAGCGCATTCTGAAACAATTGAAATTTGAAAACAATTAACGAATCAGGCTATGGAGTTATATTTTATTTTATTTTATTTTTCTCCAGTAATCTTACGTAAGTGGAGAGCCTAAAAGAGAAATGGACTATATCAAGGACCAGTTATCCGTCATGTATTGCAATGTTCAAGAGAATCACCTGTATACTTGGCCAAATCACTTATTTGCTAGCTAACCCAAAGTGACGAGTTACTTGATGACATGTATTAGTAGGAAAAGTCATGCAAATGAAGGCATGATCAGCTGAACTAGAAGTTTTGTCAAATGAACAACACCAACTATAAGAAATTCAATAGAGCAAAACTATAAGGATAATTTATAACCAAAAAGCAGATGAAGGATCACATACTAATTCATGTCTGATAACAACATCACAAGACATAAATTTCATAACTCACGGTCTGAGAATTTTGGAAGCAGGCAACAGCATGAAGGCCCTGCCAAACACCAGTAACTTCTGAACTTTTCAAGGCATCTGTGGAAGCAAATGCAGAATCACAGATGGCACATCCACCTAGCTGCTCCCCATTTTTGAATGGCCCGTACCACTACTCACAAAAGACCTTGATGTTCTGTAACATGAACTTGCTCTTTTCAACACGGACAACCCGAATAATCTGCACACGTGACTCCTGATTTCGAGGATCAATCAAGCAATGCTCTAACTCTAATAATCTGTATGTGGCATGGTCCTCCATCAGCCAAACTGCTGCATAACATCCACTGGATCGATATGCAAAGGCAGAGGCAGAGTCATCTGCACCTCCTATATTCCTCTCATCAATGCTGTACTGTGTTGCAGCATCAGCTTCACAACCAACAGTGGGAAGTAGCTTTATTGATTTGTAGAAAAAAATGGAATCTTCTGGCTTTGCAAGAGTAGGGCACTGAGTCTGCCAATCAAACACCTTGACCTCCCACTCTCTGTAAGCTTCAGGGACAACTTCTGGACACATTAGAAAACCTATAAAACTACAAGACAACATGGATCCCATCCACCAAGACAAGGCAAAATCCTATCTTCTAGAATGGAGTCACAACAGAAAACCAATGGTGAGATGACCTCATAATCATTAAAGCTTAAGTCAAAGCAAACTTGTTCAAAACTAGGGATTTTCTCCTTAGGTCATATTAACTCATCAATATTAAATAATGAAAGTCATTACTATTCATTTATTCCAATATAGAACATGCATATATGTAGTTATGAAAGAAGTGTTGTGAAGTATCAATGATGAGAAAGTGCTGATGTAAATAGAAACTTGTGAGAAAAAAAATTGATGAACACTTAATTGCTATGTGGGTCTGCAATATGCTCAATTCATAGGAAGCTCTGAATTGCAAGTGTACATTTCTTCTCTTTTGCTTTCAATACATCAACAATACTATAAAGATTCACCAAAAGAATGTCAAAAGTGGGATTAGTTGGAAGTTAGGCATAATATTAACAAAAAAAATTGCCAATCACCTGAATTTTGATGAAAGCTTGAAGTTAATCATGAATGCATAGGAAGCTTTGAAAGTGGCATCCAGTTACCTTCAGTGACTGTGAGAGTGATAACAATCTCTGCACCACAATCCTGTTCCTTAGCAGGAGAATATTCAGAAGAAACACTAGGTCAAGCCACAAAACTCAATTAATAATTTAATTCGTGTCAATCACCTCCTCTTCCTTAGCTCTTCTTGCTTTCTCTGCCTCCTCAAAGGCATCCTTTTCAATTTGAAATTTCATAAAGATAATATAACTATCAAATCAGATAATATAACTATCAAATCAACTATAAAGAGCAATTCACATGATAAAAACTTGTAAATAAAATATTTGAGTGATTCTCACCAGCATTTACCTGCAATGCAATAAAAGAGCTCCAATAATTCCAGGCAAAGCTAAAAAATTTACAACGAAAATGAACTAATTGTAGTTGGTAGCAACTCTTAAAGGGCCCACAATTTGCTAAAAACCAGATTAGAAAAGTTCAAAACAAATAGTGTCAGCATTTTCTTCTTCCTTTTTGGAAAAAAAGAAAAGAAAAATGGGTATTCAGACCGATGACACGAACAAATTTTTCAAAAAAAATAAAAAATCAATAAAATTGGCCAAAGTCCTGAAACTGACAATGA